ACAAGGTCAAATGTGAGGTGGAAAAGAACTCAAATAGCTGTGCTTAGCTTGGCTCTTGGAGGTCACCGTTAACTGAGTAAATAGGAAGCATCTCAGAGTCCAGGCCTGTCAAGTACCTCACTACCTTTCATTATAAGCCAGGGACCATACAGAATTTCCACGTCAAACACAGAAAAATCAGAGCCAAGTGAAAATCAAGATGATCCCTAAACAAGCATCAGGAAAAGAAGACAGAATGGTTACAAAAAAAAAAAAAAAAAAAAAAAAAAAAAAAGATAAAAAAAAAAAAAAAAAAAAAAAAAAAAAAAAAAAAAAAAAAGGCTTTACATGGAAAATTGTGTGCATGTGTATGTGTGTGCATGAACATGTGTACAACAAACAACTAAGGTCAAGTGGAAAACAGGGTAGGACACGTGGTCAGCAGAACAGCAAATGTGTCTGGACAGATGCTATGAATGAAAAGCAAACGAGCTGTTGTGATGGGGTCTGACCCACGCCCCTGTCAGCAACTCTCCGATGAGAGGTGTGGTACAGACAACAGCCCAAGTACACTTGAAGTGACAGGAGAGCAGTCATCTCTAGGAAGCAAAATGGCCAGGATAATATTTCTAGATGCTCAAAAAATTAATGGTCTCCTTTTACTCTGCAGAATTCTGAGATGGAAAGCTATTGTTTGAAATACAGATGAGAAACTAAGACCTAAAATCAAGAAGCCAGCATCTGCATGCAGTGGTGCACACCAGTAATCATAATGCTTGGGAAGAAGAGGCAGGAAGGGTGTGAGGTGAAGGCTAGCCGGGGCTACATATTAAAATTCTGTCATAAGTCAAAAACAAAAACAAAAATCCACTAATAATAATGCAGAAAGATGAGAAGACACGGTTGGAAATTCACATCTCTCAGAGTTCTAGCTGCTTACTGCCCAAGATAAAAGCCAATGGGATTTGGCACATACTGCATACTGATATGTAATAAAATATTTTAAAGGGACGAAAATAGAGTCATAGCCTGAACAGACTCTTCATCTTCTCAAACTGATAGAAATCCATAGGGAAAGCCTGTGCTATGTTAGGGAGTCAAGTAGGGTTCATTTTGCTGGAGGTTCGACTATAAGGTTAGAAATTTAATATTAAGAACCTTGACCTTTCAGAAAGAGTTCTTTTCTTTCTTTTTTTTTCAGTTATCTGTCCTCATGCTTGTTTTTGTTTAATTTTGGAAGGCCCTCTTGAGCACAATCAAAAATTTAATCTAGAAGTGGGGTCTAAGGAAATGTAGAACAAGAGATTGGAAGAAAGATTAAAAATCTAATTTACAAATGCTTAGTTAGAAACACAGGACTTACATTCTAAACATGTGTCCTTACACCCACGGATAAGTACAGACCTCACCGCAGAGACCACTACAGAAAGCCACAACCAATCAAAATGCAAAGCTGTGGAGCCCAGTCCCAGTGAACACATCTATAAAACAAGCCCCAAGCCTAAGGCTCAGGAAATGTGGAGAAGACGAAGAAAGACTGTGAGAGCCAGAGAACCAGAGAGTTTGCCGGGAGACTGTGTCATGTAGGAATGCCAGAAGCCACGCCCATCAAGTCTCACTAGAACAAGGACAATAATAAACATGCCAAAGTGGACGGCAGAAGGACCACATGGCCTTAACCCCTTGTTGTACAAAAAGAACTACAGGCAACTGAGCAAGGCTGAGCGTGGGAGAACTATTCTTCCCCAAAGGTCAGCCTTGAAAACAAGCAGCATCATGTGGACTGAGCAGATTATATTTAGGAATATGTATTATATACATGTACAAATATGTTTTAACAACAATTCATGAAAAGTACATGAATCTGACAGAGAGAAAGGATAGTATATCAGAGTGTTTAGAGGGAGGCAAGGGAAAGAAGAATGACATTATAATCTCAAAACATAAAAGAAATCATTTTTTAAAGGGGGGGAAACCAAAAGAAGCTGGAGTAGACAGATGGCTCAGTAGTTAAGAGCACTGGCTGCTCTTTCAGAGGGCCTAGGTTCGATTCCCATCACCCACATGGTGGCTCATCACCATCTGTAACTTCAGTTCCAGGGGACCTACCATCCTATTCTGGCCTCCACGGGCACCACGTATGTAGACTGTGCATGCATACACATGCAGGCAGAACACTGGTACACATAAAATAATCATTTTATAAAAAATGTAAAAACAGAGGGGGAGACATGTACAGTGACCACTGCATGCCTACGATCCAAGGACTTGTGGCCGAAGCAAGAGAATCTTGAGCTTGGGGCCAGAAGGGAAGGGTGAGAATTCAGTGGAAAAGAAAGGAGGGTGGAAGAGTTCCAATGCTGTAGGGGAGCAAGAAGAGACTCTTGAGGTGAAGTCGACATTGTAGGAAGGAGGTGACATGCATCCCTCCAGCATGCAGAGACTGGGCGAACAGGTGAGATGTGCAGCAAAGACAAACAAAGCACAGAGAAAACAGTCCCTAGCAGATGTTTCCTACCAAAGCCAGCGGTGCTATGACAGATTTTTTTTTTCCACCTCTGGATGGCAGACTGGACATGTGATCAAAAGACCCTGGGCTAGACTCCAGCTATACCCAAGGAATATAACCAGGCCCCTCTGTGTCTGCCATTAGAAGGCTTCAAACGTGCTAGACACTTCCCAATCCCAGTACACCCTCTTTCACCAGATGGATGATTTGGCTTTGCTATGAGGCCCCCTTCAGACCTGCAGCTAGAAAGATGCCTGGAGATGAGCGTCTATAATGTGAATACGACAATAACCCCATAAAACCAGAAGCAGTTGCACTCCACGAAAGGTCAGATACTTCTGGGGGAGGGGGAGTGCTCATTCATGTCTAAATGAACAATTGCTTAAAACTACTCGACAGCTCCAGCTAACTGCATTTTTGGAAGAATGGTTTTTGAAAAGTCAGAGCCTTGAAGTTCAAGGTGTGATGAGATATAGTGTCCAAAGTCCACCTGTCAGTTTCATTTATATCACATACACACAATTCTGGTACACCAGAAAACAGGGAGGCAAGCAAGAAAACATCCCTTTCTAAATCTGCAGAGCATGAATGTTTAATTACTAATATATGAGACTAACTTTAAAACCAAATAACCAAACCAACGGCTGCAACCCATAGAATTCATATATAGAATAGTAAAATCCATAATAATTGTAGAGAATCCACAGTAAGTAAATACATATGTAACTGCAAGCCATTTTAAGAATCTACAATCTAGAATTGTAAAAACTGTAGTTAATTGGAACTTAGTGAACATAAGGTAAACTAGAAAAGGATTATGGGTCTTTTATGAGAAATGAATTATATCCCACAGATATTCAACCAACCTTTACAATCAAATTTGGGGTTAGAAAATAGTTCAGTCACTAAAGACTGGGGGCCTGTGTCTGCAAGCACAGACATTAAAAAAAAAAAAAAGAATCCAAGCACAGTGGGGTATGACAAGTGCCTCCCCAGGGAACTCACTGGCCTGCTAGTCTAGAAGAGTCAACCTCGGGTTCAGTAAGGGACCTTGTCTCAAAAGAAACCAAGTGGAAAGAAAGTTAGGAAAGACACCTGCAGCTTCTGTAAGGCAAAGGACACAGTCAACAAGACAGAACGACAGCCCACGGATTGGGAAAAGATGTTCATCAACCCCATATCTGACAGAGGGCTGATCTCCAAAATATACAAAGAACTCAAGAAGCTAGTCTCCAAAGCACCAAATAATCCAATTAAAAAGTGGGGTACAGAACTTCATAGGCAATTGTCAATAGAGGAATCTCAAATGGCTGAAAGACACATAAGAAAGTGTTCAACATCCTTAGCCATCAGGGAAATGCAAATCAAACCAACCCTGAGATACCATCCTACACCTATCAGAATGGCTAAAATCAAAAACACCAATGACAGTTTATGCTGGAGAGGATGTGGAGAAAGAGGAACACTCCTCCACTGCTGGTGGGAGTGCCAACTCAAATAGCCACTTTGGAAATCAGTATGGCGATTCCTCAGGAAAATGGGAATCAGTCTACCACAAGATCCAGCAACTCCACTCTTAGGCAGAGAAGGAGGACTGATGAGAAAAGGGTCCAAACCAGGCTGGTGAGACCCACAGAAACAGCTGACCTTAACAAGGGAGAGCTCTTTGTTCCCAGACTGATAGCTGGGAAACCAGCATGGGACTGATCCAGACCCCCTAAATATGAGTGTCAGTGAGGAGACCTCGGAAATCTGTGGGGCCCCTTGTAGTGGATCAGTACTTATCCCTAGCATAGGAATGGACTTTGGGAGCTCATCCCACATGGAGGGATACTCCCTGAGCCTAGACACAAGGGGAGGAGCCTAGGCCCTATCCCAAAGGCTACAACAGTCTCTCAAGATCCCCTACGGAAGGCCTCACCCTCCCTGGGGAGCAGAAAGGGTATGGGATAGGTAGGTTGTTAGTTTGGAGGGCAGGGGAGGGAGAAGGGGAGGGAGAGGGACCTGGGATTGGCATGTAAAATAATCTTCTTTCTAATTCCAATATTTTTTTTAAAAAAAGACACTTGCCACTGGTCTCCAGCCTCTACAACCACATGAGCATACACAAATGTTACTCCACACATCACACAGACCAAACATGTCTTCATTTCATCATTCCAAAGTAGGTTTTAAAATTTGCTATCCCTCTTTTGTAAAAATCCCAAAGAAAATCGATATAGATATTTCACTTCTCCAATATTCAAACCTTGGCAGTTTCATGGTCTCTAACCTTGTGGGGCGGGGAAGGCAGTAGTAAGGGGAGCTGCTGCATTCAAAATTGAAACCTTGAGAGCTCCATGCTGTTTCCACACCCAAACCTGCAACAGCAGCCTGAGATAACCAGAAGGAAGACTCAATTGCTAGAGTCATGATCCATGATCTCTAAACTGCAGGCCAGAGTGTATGGGAACCTTCTTCTTGTCTATGGTTTTCATTTCTGACCAGGACTATGGGAGTAGATGGAGCTTACCTTCTTAGCTCTTTGGGCTATATCTGGGGTTCTTGTCAGCAGCTTCTCAATCAGGTACTCTCTATTCTGCAAAACAAATGACCCCAACAGTTTAACACCTCGTCAGGGGCCCATGGATTCACAGCAATTTCAAAAAAGCAGATTGACTTGGGGGTTTTAAGCATGTTACCTTGGCTTTCTGGAAGAATTTGCATTTTAAAAGTTCTGCTGCTGTAGGCCTGAAAGATCAATAATAAATTAGAGTTGGAACAATCACCACATAATAAATATACTGTCTTGATGCTACAGCTTAACCTACCTAAGAGCAACTCTGCAAGACTGACCTTGGGGCAAGCAAAACCAACCACCAAGTTAATTACACGCTGGCACCCAATAAAGCAGAGCCTGTTTTCTAGTTCTTTCTGCATACCTCTACTACAAAACACATAAGCTCTTGTGAATTAATGTGTAGGCACAAATCAGTACCATTCTTAAACTTCAGTATGTCAATTGGGAGATTCTGAAGGCTAGCAGACCAACTTCTGTGAGCTAAATTCCTGTGTTATTAAGAAGTCATACAAACTGCAATATGACCCTGTCAAAGGAGCTGTGTTATTCAAAAGGGCTCACAGAGAGATGCTGTGTGTCAGCTCAGTATGCATAGTATTGAAATGACTGCTTCAAGTATATATGGACCACTGTTTTAAAAAACATTAAATGGCCAGAGGCAAGTGGATCTCTGTGAGTTCGAGACCAGCCTGGTCTACAAGAGCTAGTTCCAGGACAGCCTCTAAAGTCACAGAGAAACCCTGTCTCGAAAAAACAAAAGAAAATAAAAAAATAAAAATAAATAAATAAAATGGCATGGTGATTAATAAAATGTAAACTCACTTAAATGCATTTCTGCATATGTCTACTTCCCTGTGGTATCCTATAACTTGTTTCTCTATGCTACATGTCCCATAAACTAAAAGTTAAGTCCAGAAGGCTCAAAGAGGTTTCACTAAGCATCTGAATGCTGACAAGACTGCTCATAAAATTACACACACTTAGAAACATTTCACATTGCAGATTTTAGACAGGGGATATATAACTAGAGAGTCTGTAAATACTCCAAAGTTCAGAAGCCTCTGAAATCCAAAATGCATTTTAGATACGGCCTCCTCGGGCTGTGCTTTCACAGATGTTGTCATGTTCCTCGCTGCAGCACCACGGAGGCGGAAACCATTAGGCTAGTCCACTATTAGTGATGCTAAGTTTAACCGATCGGTCCCCAGGCTCCAAAGCTCAGCCTTGCAAGGTCTGCTTTCCCCACTACAATTAGCCAGTGTCCTGATGAGCGATGTCTTGGCACAGTATGGATATCCTGTTACTGAAACCTTCCCCTGTGGTTTGCCATCTTGGACTTAAATATTTCATAGAAGGTAGCCGAACATTGATTTCCTACTTTTAGCATTCCTTCTATGTTCAACTGACAATCGTCCATAAAGAATAGCTTCCTTTGTCAATATTCCTTAATTAGAAATCCATTTCACATCAGCTTTCTCTATTTGTATCTGTAAAAGAGGGGGAATAAGGGAGAAGCTGCCCTAATACTCATCCATATAAGCTGGAAATGTAGGTCATAGGAAGTGCACTTGCCAAACATCCAAAGGCTAAGTCTTACGTTAAGAAAATGAAGAGAAGGTAGGAGGGAGCAAGAGGGAGAATGGAGGAGGGGCAGAGGGAGGGTAGATGTTCCTCATCTTCCTAGAGGGAAGAGCAAGAGAGATGAGGGAAGCACCCTAGAGATCAAAATACACTTGAAATATAAAGCCAAACACAGTTCATTGCCCTTGAGTGAACACTGGGTTTGAAAGAAAGGAGCAAAACTTACAAAAGACATTTAGAAATAGAGCCAAAAATTCACTACAGAGAAGACACCTGTAAAAAAAACTGCTCGTTCTAAGTGTGGGAAAACCTCATCACTGTGTAGAAGCATGGCCTTATTCACAAGAAACATGAAGTGAAATGCTTCTGTTTCTTTCAAATAATTCAGGAAATAAAATGTGCACATACAAAGGATGGGAAATGGTAATGATGTTGGGACGGGTGAGACTGAAGCTACTGTTCACATTTTCTGTTTGTCTTTAATTTTTTTATACTAGCACACTGGAAGGGAGAAGAAAACATCATGGGACATTACTATCCTCAGAGGCTAGCTAAAGTACAAAGAGAAGTATACTGGGGTGAGGGTGTAAGTTTAGACAGGCGGTTACTGCTACAGGACTAAGAAGGTTCACCAAGATGCCCACAGAGTTGGAACTCCAGGACAACTAGGAAACTTCAGCAAGCACATGCATGTGCTGTCTGCCTAAGTCTACAGAGCCATAAACTGTATTTCTGTACAAAGAAGATTTTCATTCTAATTGTTACCACTTCAAATTTAAAAAAAAATATCAGTTATAGGAACCTCTCAAATAAGCCTGAGTCATGCATCCACTACAATAGTTGATAACTTTAACTGCTTTAAGTAAATAAGGGTCTGGATGACAGGAAGGCCATATCCCTTAGTAAATGCATTAAATGCATGAGTTTACGTCTTGTTTAAAAACCAAAGAACTTGGAGATGAAAAAGGACCTAGCCATTTTACATGACGTGCCAGTTACTGTTTTGCTGAATGTAAGTCTTGCTCATCGCCCTGTGCTACTTGTTCTCAAAGGAGCAGGCTCCTGGAAGCAACTAACTCAAGCTTCATGATCCCAAATCACCTGAGGCTGTCTTCATCAACCTTACACACTTTTTGCCTTCAACCATGATGGGGTTCTCATGTGTCTCTTGTTCGTTCACAGCAAAGCATACCCTGCTTTTCTTGAAAATGTTTCTTCAAAATGTTTCATAACCAACCAGTCCACCTTGTTCATAAATCAAGAGACAATCTAGATGTCAGCATGTTGGGGATCTCTCTCCAGCATATATGAGTAGAATTCATTGCTCAGAATCTGGTGCTCAGGAACTGTACTTTCAACTCTCCTTCTGTATTTATCTCAATCTACGATCCCTCTCTGGAAGCTCCACTTCATCGTGTTATGAGCCCTTCTGAGGCAAAGAGCCTGCAGATTTCATTTTTATATTCCCAATGCCCGGCACAGAACAGCAAACTACTATAGCTCAATTTCACACCCCAGCATGAATTCAGTGAAAGCAATGCTGGTAGGCATTTGAGCTAGGACTGTAACTCCCGTGGCTAAGTTTAGCCAGCACTGAAGCATCTGCTAGGCACAGTGAGGAAAAGAGGGAAATGCACTAAAAACAAGACTCGCACTAGATAAACCAAGAGTGGGGACAGCACAGGTGTCCCAAAAATGATTTTCCTTTTTATCTCAGTAACCCCTCATTCTCCTTCTGCATGCCAAAGGTCAAATGTTAAACCAGGGTAGAGAGAAGGCTGTGGAATGCTGGGCTGACCTTGAGAAATGGGACTGGAAAAATTCTTTCCCTTCCTGAAAAAGGTCATTTCTATGGCAACCAAAAAAAAAAAATGTAACGGGGGGGGGGGGGAAGCATATTTCAAAGAAAAACCTTTCTCCCCACTCCACTCTACCCTATCCTTCATCACAAAGAAACCATAAGATAAGGGGAGAAATGGCTTTAAAAGCCCACATTCATTTTTAGGTGTTTGTTTGTTTGTTTGTTAGTTTGTTGTGTTTGGGGAGTTGTTTTGTTTTTAATAAGCACAATTGTTAAGTTTCAGATCATTCTAATACAATACACAGAACAATTCAACAGTGGGCCACTGGGTCCTTGTGTTACTAAAGTCGGATCAAGTGTTCATAGCTTGGGGTAAAACCCCATGCGTGCCAAGCTACCTTTGGGAAAGTAGGGGGAAGGGGAACTGGAAGAAACGAGGAAGATGAAAGAAAGTATGAGAGGAGCAGAGGTGCCTGGTGACCATCTGGACTTCGGGTTGCATGCATCAGAAACTGCCACTACATGCTTGTGTACTGTGGAGTCATTGACCCTGACTGTCTTTAACTGAGTTCTACTGGAGCAGGGGATCTTCCTGACCACCGCCCACGTGGCTGCTAACCACCACCCAGCAATGTAACAGGTAATATAAATAGAAACGCTGTTTCACAAGAAATGCTAAAGTGCCACCAACACCTGAAACAATCCAGGCTATGAATGATGACTAAATTGCAAACTCCTTAAAAACGATGCAGTATTCTGTAAGTACCAACATTCTCAGAAGAAAATCTCTCAATGGATTCATCTGACACATAAGATAAGGATGGGCCAAAATCCACTGAGACTTAAAATGAATCTCCAAGGATTCAGGGTGAGTATTAATTAGACAATCTAAACAGCTCTAACTGTGCTTTAATAAATTCTAACAGCTTAATGACCTTAGGCAGAACTGCTTTGTACAGCCCTCCCTCCCTTGGCAAAGGAATGTTCCAATCTAACTCATGGCTGGCTCATTCATCTACACAACATCCACCTGCTTCCTGCTCGAAGTAAATGTTCACTCTTCCTATAGACTGCCATCGCTGGGAAATATGTAATCTATAATAAGATCAGGGCTCATTCTATCAGGAGAGAGCAAGACATTCCGCTACTCGAATGCAGCAACTCTGCCTGAGCTAATGCAAAACACAAACCTCTATGTGGCATGGTGGCTCTCACCTCTCGGGTCGATGTCACAAGGAAAGTGCAGAGCCTGGCATGAGAGCGCAGGAGTCAATCTGTCCTGGTTATCCTGCCACTCGTGTGTGTCACCGGTTGCTCAAGCCTCGTAGTAACGCTAGGAGAGCTTTGGTGGCTACTAACTGCACTAGGGTTCCAGGGAGCTGAGATGCATGCTGACAAAACACATGCACAAAGGTTATCAAACTTTTCCTTCGACTCCTTAACCCACTTGAGTCTGGTTGCTGTTCCTGAAATCCTCTTCAGAAGATGTAAATCACCTCCAAACCGCAAACTCCCATGAGCCTCCAGATGTGGAAATGAGTACACAAGCCCTTCTAAAGTTTTGAATTTGCTGTACACGTCAACGAAAGTACAGCGCTAAACAGTGAGATAGACACTGCATGAACACGGTGTAATGAGTGTGTAAAATCACAGAAGATCTCCCTGCCGGGATGGAAGCAAATGATGAATGGCAGGCTCTGTTTCCCAAGCTCTGAAGCAGGCTGTGTGACTCTGCTGTCTGCCCTTGGTGTCATATCACTGCATGCTCAGAGCAGTCCTTTGAAATGGGCACTGCTAGACCCATTATATGGACAAAGGAATGAAGTCCTGAGAATGAGGATAAAACAGAGCTAGGAATCCCATCCAGTATTGAAAAGCAACAGAAAGAGAAGGGGAAGAAAAAATAACAACAATAGTGGAAAGTCTTAAAGAGTGTGAACACAGCGGAAGGGCAGATGGGGCTAAAACTACTCTGCATCAGCCATCACTTCAGAAGTTAGTCATGAGCACAGATTCTTATTTGTATATTTCATGCTGAACGTGTTTCTAATTAAATTCAACAGTGTACTTTTTCCCCATCCTCACAATCCATGATGAGATTCTGTGTGTTTGTTTTTGCTTTTCCCAAACTCCTCGCATACATCTTCAATGTCCATGTCTTTGCATTAGAAGGAAAAGCCGCTGGGGAAGTGGTACGGCACTATTGGTCTATAACTCAGCAGGATAAGGTTATAGCGAAAGCACCCAGAAGGCCTGCCACTACTCACACACGCTGAACAATGCAGACGCAGTGCTGTCAGGGGAAAGGCTTCATATACATATAAATACATATGTGTGTGGCTGCCTTATCAGGGACCTGTCTCTCCATCTCCTCTCTTGATCACTGTCCCATAGAGACACACATACAGGAAATCTGGTACCTGAACTCTCTCAGGGAATAAACCCCGGAAAAGTCTTTAAGCTTATTAAGAAATCAAAATGGTCTGTTAAACATATTGCACATAGATCTAAATTATTTGGACCAAATCACAAACCTATCACTAATAGCACTAACAATATTCCCTTCCCTAAGGAACACGTTTCTCCGTTATGTGACATTACTCATCACAGCCACTAGGTGGATCTCAACTTGTTCCAGAATCCCAAAGGCTGTCAGTGAAGTCTCAGAACTAACCAGAAACTCAAAGCTAACTCTCACCAGGTGTAGAGGCTATACCAGTTCTCTGTAATGACAAATTCTGCCCTCGTGGTAATGCCAAATACATGGAAAGGATAGGCAGACGCTGAGGAATCAAAATTAAAATCTAAGAGCTATTCTCACCAGAAGGAGGTTAAGATCTCACCCCAGGTTACGATCAAGTAACAGATGGAGGAAAAATAATCTCTATAAATCAATCGTAAGGACGAGAGAAATGTCAAGTAGAAACAGTCTGTAGGCATTATTTGCAAGAAATAATTTAAAGATTTGCAATAGCAAATAGTCAGGAAATATCACAAAAACTGTGCTTAAGCCAAAGAAACATGGCCTAACTCACAGCAACACTACAAATTATTTTAAAAGCTCAATAAGTTGCACAAAGAATTTATGACTAGAATACAGCAATGCCTTCTAACAACAGGGTTCCATCCCCAAATGGGAGACTTCCTGGAGAAACGTTATTACTTTAAGCTAAGTAGAAGATCGGAGGCTTAGGTGAACTAGGATAGACAGAAGACTTTCCAGATCTGTTGGTAAAATGGCACACACAGCCACATCCCTACAAGGAGCAAGGCTTGTCTGTGATTTGCATCACTGAAGTTCTTTCTCCTTTAAGTGATAAAGGACTCTGGATTCCACTGTCAATGTCAGGGGCATTTCCAAGTTCCAGAATTAAAAGGGAAGAAAGAGATCCAAAAAAGAAAAAATGAGTTGTATCAATGCAGGGCAGTAACATAAGAATACAGAGGAAACATTAAGTTAATTTAAAGCCATTTGCTTCGCTTTATGAGATTAATCTTTCTAGGTGACCCCCCACAACCCTCCCCGATGAGAATCTTTTAAATAGCCCACACAACTTGTTCTGCAACTAGAAGGAAGCTCATGCAAAATTCACTAACTGGTTCAGACCAGAGCTAGCCAGATGTTCCGATCCTGAGAGGTCAGCTCAACCTAGGAGTGCAGGGTATCAACCCAGCTTCCCTAACCACTGCCAATGCCTTCTGATTTTTGCTTTGTTCCCTTTCTTTTGGTGACAGTGCCTACACCTAGCAAGCAAGACCAATTCGTCTTCCTCCCTCCCTTGTCCAACACTGGCCTCTCTCCCCCACAGACTCTGTTGTACACTAACAATAGCCAGGAGCCACAGCAAGATATCCTTTCCATATCCACAAGCATAGTTTTGTCAGGACCCAAACTAGGTAGGTCATTAGTTCCTAAACTAAGTCCGACATACCTTTTGGAAGGGTCTTTCTGAAGACACAGTGAAAGTAACTTTCTGAAGGACTTGCCATATTTTTTCATCATTTCTTTATCCTCTACTCCAGTTTCTAAAGTGGGCGGGTCATTTTGCAGAGTCAACATTAGCACCTGCAGCCAAAAGAAAGGTGGAGACAGTCTGTGTTGAATGTGAGTGACAATGGAATTTTTAGTTTGTTCTTTCACAAAAGCATCAAAGTCCTTCCTTGGCTGGGTTACCAGCATGCTTTTCCCATAATGAATAGTCCTAAACTTGAGGACTGAAAGGATCCATTTTTTTCTGTGCAAGTCTGCCCACAGCCTCCTTAACCTTGGTTATTCTCATGGACAGAACTTAGGAGATTTGCTCTGTGGATTAAGAATGGTCTTCCAAAGCCACAGGGAAAGAATTTTCTGGGAAGTAGCTCTCACAGGACCTCAGGGAACACTTGCTGCAGCACAGGCTGGTTGGGAAAGAGTGGTTGGTGGTTGGGAGAGAAAAGGACATTCAAGTGTGAAGGCCATTCATAAGTACAGAACCCGCTGTACTCAAGGCTCCTGCAACATATTAGCAACCCTAAAAATAAAACCACAGCATCCCAGGAGGTAACGTGATTTTCTCTTAAAGAGAAAACAAAATGGGAAAACTGCTAAAGGGGCTTGGTAAAAATTGAAAGAATAAGATACTGGTGGGCATAATATAATTATGAGTTACAAAAAAACTATAATCATATCAAAAGCTGTGCTATGTGGCAGGGGACAAAACAAACTACAGCTTCAAGTCAAAAGGCAATAATTCAACTCTTTCACACTAGAAGAATCATTTACTGCAAAAACAAGCAGAGTGAGTACATAGCACACTATTGGCCTACAAAATGAACAGACTTCCCTAATGCATAAATCAGCCCTAATTTATGCAAATTCTATACATGCCAGGACTCCTTTCAAGCACTTGAGACACCTGAATAGATGAATGATAGAAGTAACTGTTGTTTGTGGAGGACAACAGCCAAGAGGAGGATGTGGGCTACTGTGAACTCTGAGAAAGTCCTGGAGGACTTCAAGCTGAGATTAACAAGTGCCTCTTTAGATTCAGGTGGAAAAACTAAGTGGAGATAGGGAAGTAAATAAACAAGTAGAAAAAAAAAAAAAACAGATAAAGGACAAACTTCTCTGAATTACTCTAGTATCTTTTCCATAAAAATCTCTTCTATGGTTTACACTTCAGTTTCAAAGTTTCTACTAAGAACAATCTTAGAGATAAAGAGATGCACATATATGCATTAAGTATATCATTGACATCTTAATTGTATTAAACATTTGCACAAAAATAGAACAGGGTAAGGGTGTAACTCCACGGCACTTTGTGCTCAGAACGGGTGAAGTCCTGGGCATAATCACCAAAACTAATTTAAAAGAAAAATAGCAAATTAACAACACTAAAACATTAACAGAGATTATCTGTGGCTGGTGAAATCGTGGGTGATTATTCTCCCTTGCGATTCTTATTTGTACTTCCACGTTTTCTACAATAAGAAAATACATTTGGGAGGCAGAGGTTGGAAAACAGCCAGGGCATCAAACCAAAACCTCACATTTCCTAAGCATTTCCTAAGCTCTACCCTTTGCCCACTGTTTAAAACAGTGTGACTAGGGAACCTTTGTGCCACCAGATTTTAATTCTTTTAAATTTTCTAAAACTTAAAATATGAAAAACAAAACAAGCATAGAGTTTTGGTGGTGGAATATCTCCGTAATTTCCACTGAATAACTGCAGCCTCTAAACGAAGTCTGGCTGGGGGAATGAAAAATGCTGTGACCCCTCTCAGAGGTAGAGCAGATAAAAGAGTAACAAAAACCTGAAAATAGTCCCCTAAAGTATATGCTGCTTCAAAACACTGTGAGTCACTCATATCAGATGAGCCACACCACCACACTGTACACGAAGGCTGAAACGGTACATACTATCTTTATTTAAAAAAGGAGAAAAAAGGCAGCCTGAAATCCATCAGCAAATATGATAGCCCTCTAACAACTTTCTTACACCTTGTTGGGAGACCTGAGGTTGTCCTGCTCTTTCAGAGTCCGTAGTCGGAGCTATGAATCTGTTCAACTCTGTACTGAGAGTCGCAAAGCAGGGTGCGTACGGCACTACCTCTGTTAATTTGGGGCATGAGAACATGAGTCAGCCTTCAACTTGGCTGCATTCCTCCACTAACTCCCACAAGTCTAAGAGGAAAATAAGCATGTTCAGGAGAACCAAAGAATCCATGCACCCCCATCACAGTTCCAACCCGACGAGTCACCCCGGCAGTCATTACTTTCATTGGTGGGTATTTGTGGTAGGGCGCTGCTCCGGTGGCTAATTCAATGGCAGTTATTCCAAAACTCCACATGTCAGCCTTGAAGTCATAGCCTCTCACCTGAGAAGAGAGAGATAAGGAAAGAGCACTCACAATGATGCCGCAGGTCTGTGGCACATGGTTACATCTGTTACTACGTTAGATACCCAAAGCTAAACACAGAAAAAAATGTCAACGTAATTTGCTAACGGCTCGCTGGCAATCCAGAATTGAAATCTAAGTTGTATGATACATTTTGCTGTGATGACTGACTGAAATGAAATGTTACAACTACAGGACATCAGACGTGTGTTATGTCAGATTAATTAGACACACTGTGTACATATTATCAATGACATGTATCACTGTACTACAACAATCACAGCAGCATATATATATATATATATATATATATATATATATTTTTTTTTTTTTTTTTTATCTTTTCCATGACTTCAGGGGCCATCCAGCATGGGGTGCCAACAAATGTTTTTCTAACTTTATTCCGTGTAACATCACCCCCTGTTGCTAAGAATGCACTGACCCCAAAATCTGGAAAGAAAGAAAGAAAAAAAACAACCTTATTTTATGTTCTGTGTGGCTTATAAATTCTGAACTCATCCCATCTCTCCCCGGTGGGCCCTGGGGTGGTGATGAATAGTTGCAAACACGTCCATGAAGCTGTCTCAGAAATAAGTCATCTGCTATCATCTATGCTGAAGAAATGCTATTAGAGGTAATGGGCCAGCAAGTTCACCATACCATATGACATCTTCTACTAAAAAGGTACTAAAGTCACCATTTTTAAAAATATCATACCAATGAAAGCATCAACACATTTCAAAAGCCCTGAATATGAAATGTCTTAGCCTTTACCTAAGTTTTCTTTTTCTTAATCACTAACAAGAACACAACTGGAGAAAGTAAGAGTAGAATGTAATATAGTTATTTTTCTATTTTTGTTGTGATTTTCTAGCCCATTTAATTCTAAATTATTGATGTTCAAAAGTCAATTTCTTAAGGAAAGAAAAATGAATCCATTCCATATCACCATGTCCTAAACTAAACAGTATATGTTAATACCTTGGCCAAAATCCTAAAAGCAAACCCACACACCAGGAACACAAAATTCACAAGTCTAGTATGTCCTCATGCAACCACCACACAAAGGAAAGGCTGAGTCATCAAAGACCGGGTTTCCCCCACCCCCAAAGTTTGCTTCCTGCATAATGTTCATAAGCGCAGATGGAATGGTATGCAGAATTAAAATAATCTCTTCCTTTGTATCATTTATGATTGTGTATGTACATGAGTGCATGTGTCTGTGTACATTCGTGCACCTGTATGTGCGGGTCAGAGGACAATTTTCGGGAGTTGGTTCTCTCCTTCCACCATACAGAGGTATCTCTCTTGCTGTTTCTGTAGTGCTGCATAACACAGGCTGGCTGGCTCACAAATTTGCAGGTGTTTGTCTGCCACCCACCTGCCTCACCATTGGCACTGGCATTACAGATGCACTCCAGCATATCAGGCTCTTACACGTAAGTTCAGGGGATCAAACTCAGATCCTTCAGTTTTCTGCAGCTAGCACTTTTACCCAGTGGAGCCATTCTCACTGGCCAAAACCATATTACTTTTCCTAATCCTTACCATATATTTAGAAATTTGATATGTGAGATTAATTTGGTATATTGTACATGCATATAGACAAATATGCAAAAATAATTTCTGTAGTGGACAGCAGTGAACATCTGCTTATTAATGCGTGCATCCTCAAGTGTATTTTTGCATATAGAGTACGTGCCGTTTATAAATTTAAAAAAAAAAAAAACTGCTCTGGACTATAATACTTCTTGCTAACAGCCACGCCAGGTATCCCTGGAGAGTGAAGTGGCAGACAGAAAGGTCAGGGTGGAGTAATGTGTGCCTTTAATCCCAACACTTGGGAGCCAAAGGCCACCTAGAGCTACATAGCGAGTCTCCAGGCCAGCCAGGGCTACATAGTAAGACCTTGTGTGCCCAAAGGGGGGGGGGGGGGGGGGGTAGCCAACACACAGCACAAGGCAGCATACTATGATATAATTGTCTTTTGCTGGTCCCCTTTGTTGACTGTTAGGGTGCAAGCAATTACAAAGAACATCCTCAAGCAAAAACCTACACCAAAAGCATATGGGGGTTTGCTTTAGATCTGCAGCGCTGTTGTGCACGGTGTGACTTAGGAGCTTTGTAACTAGTCCCGTAAGTGGACATATGCTGACTTTATTTACATTTAAACATATTCAGTCCCCAACAGGACATCAGTTACAAGTAAATAAATTGAAAAATGGCATCTTTGTTCCAGCTGCTACTTGCAATGAAAAACCATTTTATTCGAAAATGCCATACAATTTAATTGGCATGTACGGGTCCTACTCTAAAATTCTTTGAATGACTACACTGCAGTAACTCACAGAAGAGCCAAGTGAACTGTCAAATGCCTACTACCGATGGCTAGAGAATGGGACTATTCTAAGGCTTTGAAAAATAAAAATTTCAATTTAATTCATATTTCCCAAATGAAGTTGAACAAAGAAATCAACGCTTTGCTTTTATTAAAACGATCTTACAAATTGATAATATTAAGTAAATACATGCTACCTATAAATAACAATGTGGATAAAGGCTGCTTTGAGAAAAACTTAGGTTCTCACACTAAAGGCTTTAAATCCGTGAGCCAAGTAAACTAGAGCTATTACTTTTCAATGTCTCGGGATTCTACCTGCCTGCAGGATACATCTGAAAAGCTAGAAAAATCCCTGAGAAGGATACACATGGGCAATGCCTCTTCAATGCATCGTCCGTAGTTCACCTGAAATTCACATACTTATTCACAGCCACGGCTCAGAACATCTACTTTAAAGTCAAAAGCAGATGGCGAAATGTCTTTTGAGCTCAGGAAAAAAAATTCCAGAAGCAGAAATCACCAAGCCTAACATCTACTCACCACCACAACTGCAGAACAGCTTCATCTGGCTTTCTAGGTAAGGCTGGTATGTACACAGAGCACTTGTTCTGGGAACAAAGCCTTTGACAAAAGTACACAGAGTACTAATACAAACAGGAGAGCCAGTATATGCTGTTCTGTTTCAACAGTATACATGTGATGGTGGGAATGGTAGTGGCGTGGAGCAGGGAGGGGGGACCAGGACAGGAAAGTGGGAAAGTGGGAAGCCAGGTTTTCATAGGAGCCAGATACTCTCAGAAATCATGCACAATTTTCTGGCAACAAAGCATCAAATGCTATACATGGAATCAGCCAGCTCACCTTTGTTCCTTTGCAGAATATGGGTAAAGCTACCCAGAAAATGTTGTCATCTAGGTAACAATGGGCTCTAAAACCTTTTGAGTCCATTTACTTTTCTTTCCCCAGAGTCAGCTCCTCAGTTTAAGCCACCATTACTTCTTGCTAAGAGTCCTAGGTCACAGGCCCCAGGCCTCCTTAAAAGCCTACTAAGAGACTCTTTCCTTCTATAATGAAGTCAAACCACTTTAGTAAAACCCATAACTATCAACTCCTTCTTCTCCTGCACCATTGGTCACTGCTCCAGATCCAACTAGGACCTCCTGCCTCACTAAAATGTTTCCACAGGTCTCAATAGGCCCTAGCATTCCTAGTGCTGCCTCTACATATGATGCTTGTGGTCCACATACAGGGTTCCTTTCAGAGCACAATTGCAGGCAGGAATAGCAAAGTCCATTCCTTGAGTCTTTATTGACAGAGGTATCTCTGGCATCCTGGTCCTTGGCAATTCCTTTGAGTTACATCCATCTGAAGAGACCAGACCCCCATCTAGCTCCCTGCTTTGTCAGCCATAACAGGCTGCAGAAAAGAGCCAACAAGATGTAGGCCTCTGACTCAGCAACATGTGCTGATCTTCCTTCCAACTTGCCTGACCTTGCCCCAATCACTAGGAAGCTAGATACCATCCATGTGGCAAGGAACCAATCAGAAGTTAGCTGGTAGCCTTTGGATGTGCTTTATGGTATCAGTGGAGTGTAGAGCATAGCAACCGCCCTGGGAGGGCCGATAGGCCATAGCAACCTGGCCGCAGCTGCAACTGACCAATCAGCACAGGACAGGTTGCTCAAGCCCAGAAGTGCACCAATCCTGAGACTGCTTTGGACCCCAGACACTCCCCTTGCTCTACTCCAATAAATTCCCTGCCCCGTGGTCCCTCTGGGTCCTTCTCCCTTCACCTGCTGTGTCAGTCAGACAGAGGACCCGAGTTAATACAGTTTACTCGTTAATTAACTAATGAATCTACAAGCATCAGATGGGGGTCTCTTGGTGATTTGGGGGTTCAGAATTTGGGCACAACACATCAAGCCTGCCTATTCTGTCAAGTATCATTTGTGTTGCTTTGGTCATTGTCCTAGATAGATATACAAACAGGGAGCCTTGAAGTGGATCCGTAGCACTGTAGTAATCTGACTTAGAGAAGAATATCACACACTAAGAGATAGAAGGTAGATGTCACAGTGTACAAGACTCCTCAACTGTGTGACTTAGAACCTTCCCAGAGCTCTGTTTTCTTACCAGATTTCTCATTTGGGCCTAGTTTTCTGTTGCTTTCATTTTAAAACTCTATTCTACTTCCTCTCCCAATATATAATTTTTCCTTAGGGTGAATGACAACTTACCATTCTCACCTTTTAACAAATAACGTTAAGTGGGCCATGGGGGGAGGGTCAGCATCTGCATCCTTCAATAGCACACACGAAATATGAGTAAGAAAGATCTGCTTATGGATCTTAAGATATTACCATCCCAGGAGAATAAGACATACATAAATAATAATACACAACAGCACAACGTGTGAAACCAAATGTTACGATGTCTGTGTGGGAGGACACAGGAGCTATAACTGCCACTGTAGACAATCTCTAAAACAGGCCTTGGATCTGGCCTTGGAAGTGAGGTGAGGAGTTGGACAAGTGAGCTAACGGGAAACCAATCCCAGACAAAGGCACAGCACGGGCAAAGCACAAACTGGGAGCTAAGAAGAAAAAAGTGTCTGACAGCTTCAAGGGAGGAAAACTCAAGTTATCTACAGGGGTCTTGAGAAAACCAAAAGGAGGCCAGGTCCTGAGAAGCACAGTCCCTGAGATTAAGGACACTTGGTGCTCAGCCTTGGTGCTAGGGGGCTGACCCATACAGGGAGTCTGGCACTCACTCTCCGCAA